TGTAACGGCGAGCGAGTAGCCATTTTCTCAGATAGCCAGGTGGCCATTAAGGCCTTAGCGTCTTTTACAACAAGGTCGAAACTAATCAAGGAGTGTAGGACGCTGTTAAACACAGTAAGTCGTCAACTCGATCTAGATTTAGTTTGGGTCCTTGGTTATAGCAACATTCCCGGAAACGAGGCTGCATACGAGTTAGCTGGAGACGGTTCCACATTGGTGTCGATCGAGGACCGGATCTCACCCCCAATTGGAACCTTATATAAAGACATATTTCTCCACAATCTTCGTAAATCGGATCAAAGATGTCGCACCGTGGAAGGCTGCCGTATATCCAAACTATTTTGGCCTGAGTATAGCCCTGAGAGAACACAAAACCTACTAAGGAAACCCAGATCTGACGTTGCTAGGCTTGTTGCGACTCTTACTGGGCATTGGCCGATTGGTACCCACGCGAGAAGGCTAGGAATCGCCTACGACTTCTGTAGAAGCTGCAGAGATGAGAACGAGCAGGAAACAGTAGAATACCTGCTTTGCAAATGTCCAGCTCTAATGAGGAGCAGAAATACCATGCTAGGAGCATATGAGTTCACATCGTTACGAGAGCTATCTGATATAAGTCTCCACAGCATACTCAACTTCATCATCCACGCCGGCTGGTTCAAACATACTCATTCGAAGTATATGGTATCAAAATGGCACTTAGCTGCTACTTGGGCGTAATATTTTTTCCGCTACCATTCTAACCTAACCTAACCTAAGAGTCCTTTATAGATTTTAGGAAAAAAAATAAAATTTTACTTTAATTTTATTAATTGGTTTTTAAATTTTAACTTTTATTTGGGCTTACCAGCGGGGAGGACATGTAACTAGATGTTGAATGTCGTTGGGAGCGCCTACTGTTCTTTTGGAGATTTTATCAAAATAGCGATAGCGACTGTTGGAATCCGGCAGCAGAACAACTAGGTATTTGTGAACAAACTTGTAACTTCCAGGCAATCAAACCCTAAAAGATATTTGGCTACCCTTGGCATTATGGTTTGATCGCGTCGTAGTTATTATTGTAGCCGCATAAACATATCCCAAAATAATTTCGAAAATCCGTGGCCAAATTAAAAATCTGGCTCTTTCCAGTTACATAGCGCCGACTGTGATGGAAACATTGTGCTGCCGTTTCTATTTCTATATTATTTGAACATTGCGCCATTAGAGCTCGGGACCTACCGAGTGCTAATAAAAAAGTTAAAAATATATTTACATTTAATACTCCCAGTTAAACAAGTAATGTTTAGCAAAAAAAAACGACTTAAAAAAAAATATATATATATATATTTCATCATCCGATGATCGGATCTAAGCCAGATTAGTATGGGACCACCTCTGAGACACTACCTTTCCGATGCAAAAAGAATCATCGGTTGACATGGTCCAAGTTATGTGGTAACATACATAAAAAAAAAAAAAAACAATATTCCGACGAACTGATAACCTCCTCCTTTCTTGGAAGTCGGTTAAAAAACGTTACGGACGTTCCGTTTGGAGACACTTTTTTCATCATAAAAACTATAGTAGGCTCTGAATGAACACAAATTTTTTTGTCATGAGTAGTCATCATCAATACCTATGTGAAACCAATAAAAATATTTTCCACAAATGTTATATAGTAAGTGCATAGCGATTAAGAGAAACCGTTCGGACGTTCCCAATATGGAACTCGTATCGAAGACTGATAATTCTTGCAAAATTCTGCCAATCTGTTAACGGACGTTCCCGTTCGGACGTTCCGATTTTTTCCAATGAGATACAATTTTTTGTTTAAGAATTTAAACACACTCGTTTTTTAATGTAAATATGAGGTTTTATTGTAAATAGTACAAAACACTTAATGCAAATATGAGGTTTTATTGTAAATAATACAAAAAACTTAAGGCGTAGCTAGTGGGTGACAGGTAACAAGATCAACGGAAATAAGGTCAATTAACACTATTTCGCATACTGGTGCGAAATAAAGTCAATTTACATTATTTCCTTTCTGAAAGCGACATAAAGTCATCAAAAATTTGACGCGAGTGCGGCGCGGAGCAGCAGGTGTGTCGCGGTGTGGCGCGCGGACGCGGACCGCCGTGAAGCTACGCAAATTTTATGTTTGAAAGAGCAATATGGTCAATGGATTTTATTTCGCTTTTGAAAATAATGCCAATTTTATTTCGCACCTTATTTCCGTTATCTTGGTCTGCTCGGCTAAAATTTTGTTTTGCTAATGTAAAAGTCCTTGAATTCCTTTTTAAAATGCTGATATGATTCGCTTACTGTCAAAACCACGTAGCGCTTTGGTATTGGCAATTCTTGCTTACTTAACAAAGTTTCATTTCTTCCTGCTGCTTGTACAATTTTTTTTAATTTTGGGTTCTCATTTTCGCATTTCGCCATATTTGTCTAATAATTTTTTCTTAATGCTTTTTCATCTTTTTTATAGCTTTATTGTCTACTTTTATACTTGCCAAAGTTCGAAGAAACTAATCCCTATTTTTTGTTTTCAATATTCATTGAAGTCATGTCTTCTACAAGCAGAAGTATTTACTATATTTATATACCTATGTACGTACATAGAAACGATATAGACAAAAATTATTTGAAGCGTTCGGGCGTTTGCAATTTTCTTACAATCGATAATCCTATAGCTTTATGAAAAAAAAAGTTTATGCTAATGGCAAAAGTAACCAAAACTAGCTTTTATATTAAAGTTTTGACAAATAAAGTAAACGTTACGACGCTTGAAAAAAGGCACAATTTGTAATTTAACTTAAGACGGTTCCTAATATATTTTTACGTTGTTTTTGTTGTAAGACTTACGAAACATAAGCTATACTAAGTTTTCGTATAGAGTTCCGATTGGTTGACACTTTCCAAGAAATACCCATGTGTATACATATATAGATTAGACCGTTCCACAGAGGGGTATTTGGCCGATTTAGGCGGCCAAAATTCGAATTTTCCAAACGTACTTTTTTCTTTTATAACTGAATATAGGGTAAAGAGAATATAATTCTTGACTAGATTCCGTTATTTTTAATCCCTCTCTGGTTTAATTTGCTCGCACCGCGCTGTCAAAGTGCCGTGTTGATAATTGTTTATTTAGTTTTTAGATGTGTTTAATACAAGCCGAAGTTGTAAAAAACTGCTTTAAATCGTGTGTTAATTTTTTTAAATTATAAAATATATATATTTAAATTGGATAATTGTAAAGCAGATAAATGCCATATAATCCAAATAGTTTAATACAAATATAATATGAACTGGTACCGGCAGAGCTACAAGGAAAAATATCGTATTTTTTTCTTATTTTAATGGATTAGAAGAATGAACTGCAGTCATAAAGTTATGTAACACCACTCAACGGCGCTGAGATTCTTGCTTGGGTGTTATGCATGACAGTTCGTAGTTTGGAAACAAACAAAAAAATACTGCTGAAAATGTGCGCTTGCTGTGCAGTGACCATTGGAAATACTCACTACTGCTGAAAAATAAACCGAAAATACTGCTGCAGTACTGTACCAGTTTTCTGTAAGTGTTCAATGAGTAAAGAGGGTGATAGGAAAGTCAAAACGCCCAACAACGTTAAGGGGGGAGGGGTTCAATATAAAAATTTGGAAAGTTCCAGGGAGAAAATATTTGTCAGTACATTTAGAAGAAAATTCTCTACTTAAGGGCAAGTTCTAGTAAAAATTTGCAAATAAGTTTTTAAGGCAGTAAAATCGTAAGAATTTTTGTTTTTTATTCGAATATGATAACTCTCAGTACTTGCGCGTTGGATTTGAAGAAATGCATTCAGGGAAAAAAGTTGTTAACAAAATAGTTGAAAATCGTGAATTTTATAGTCATTTGGTATGTAAAATAACTTATAAATCCGAATATGAGGTCAAAAGTAAAAAAGTATAATAGTTTTTAAGAATGTGCGAAACTATCGTTTTTTTCCAAATTGAGAAAACAGCGTTTTAAATTTTTTCCACAAATATCCGGTTCTGATTAACACACCGCGAAAAGCTCTCCACCAGAATAATGGTCTTCGAAATCCCTATGAACTTGATATGCAATGTTTTGAAATCAAATTATCAGTTTAAGAGTTATCTGCAAGTTTATGGATGAAATCGGACACAATTTTAAGTCGTATCGATATTCTACTGTGAATTACACCTAAAAGCCGCAAACTTTTTGTTCTTACATATCTTTATGCTAAAGTAAAGCTTATTTAATTTCAAAATATATAGATCCAAATCTTTTGCAAAGCGATTTGAAAATAGAAAAGTTATAGCAAATGAATGAAATGAAAACGTTTTCTCAATTTAAAAAAAAAAAAACGATAATTTCGCAAATTCATAAAACCTTTTCCACCTTTTTTTATTTTTGACCTCATATTCGGATTCTGTAAGTTATTTTACATAGCAAATGACTACAAAATTCATGATTTTGAACTATTTTGTTAAAAACTTTTTTCCTTTAATGCAAGTACTTAGAGTTTCACAATCGAATAAAATTTTGCACAGCTTATTTTTAGACCAAAAGACATCTTTTTCCACCCGGCCAACTGTATATTTAAACAAAAATTTAGAAATAACGAACGGTCTAATGTACATACATATAACAGCATTGTCATTAGCGGGATTCGCGCTTCTGTGTATTCGTTGTACCTTGCGTAAGTGTAACTGAATTAGCGTGTGATTTGTTGTTGCAAGTGTATTTATTGTACCACATGCTCATCCAGTTACACTTACCCAAGATACATCGAATACACAGAAGCGCGAATTCCACTATTATTTTATTTTTGAGTTCTTATGCTTTCTCTCGAGCCGGAATTGTCTTTGCCTATGACGGTGGTGGCTCATTCGGATGCATCTACGCACGGATTTTTCAAACACAATCTCATTCATCTGGCAAACATCTAATTGAAAAAAATATCTTAATGCAAATTATAGGCATTTGTAATAAAAATGTTAACGGCCTACCATAAAATACGCCCATAATGATGGAAAATTGGTTCAAAGATCTCCTCTTTCCACAGTCATTCCAATTGAAACGTAATATAAAATCATCAGTAAAAATCGCACGGAACACATGATCAACACTTGCATTTGCAGGCTTCAGATGTAATAGAAATGCTTTCTGAAAATTAAGATACATAGTACATACATACATACATGCAAACTAATTCGANGGCTTCAGATGTAATAGAAATGCTTTCTGAAAATTAAGATACATAGTACAAACATACATACATGCAAACTAATTCGAAAAAAAACCTTGGCATCAGACATTTTTTACACACCATTACTTCGAGATATTCTTGGTCTACAAGTTTATGTTCCAGTTCTTTAGCTGCATTCAGCGTGCGCAGCGGTAGAGTGGACTCTAATTCTGTACAGAATGCGTCCGCCATGACCTGAAAGTGGAAATATAGTATGTAGTGAATATTGAAGTACATAAAAAAGGAACACATTAGGGTATTCATATTATAACACTTAAGTTTACAGTTCAGTGCAAAACTTCTAAGTTTTATGTGCCCGAGAATTTTTCTAATTAACGTGAATACCCCTAGTATAAGATAATTCTATAACGTTTTGAATACATACTTTTTTATTAGAGACGGTTCCCAAAATGTTAGGTGATCCTTTATCGAAACTGTCCATACGGTCCAATATGATATTTTGGTTTTCCAACATCACTTTTTGATTCACCAAAACTAATTGTAACAAGTTTGCTGTCTCTGTAAATAAATTTGAAATATACTACGCTTACACGCACGTTTTATTTGCAAAAAAAAATTTTGCGAGAAGGAAGTTTGGACGAAAAACACACCGAGCTAATTAGTGAGTAATACAACTATATCTGCATCTACATCTGGTTATAAGTAGGTATGTACCAAGGTTCCTACTTAAGCATCTAAATATAGCAACTCTAATGTTAATATGTCAAATTTGACATTTTCATAGTAGTTTGACTATTTTAATACTCAGGACGAGGGCTATTTGTGTTTACAGATTTCCAGAAAGAGTTTTTAGAGAATGTTTCTGTAGTGACAGCCCTCGTCCTGAGTATATATATATATATAGAAATCTGGGTCGTTCCGGTTACGTAGACCTCCTTGTCATTGGAGAGGCCATGACATGAGGCAATCGGGTCTATTACCGAATTCTTTGTAAATTCGACGTAACTTTTACTATATGCGTTCGTAGCTGTTTGAATTCAGTGACAGCTTCTTCGTAGATTTCACGAAAATTTAACCACCGATGAATTCAGCAATAGTCCGAAAACTGAGGAGGAATTTTGTTTCTGAATTCTAGCCGCCGCGCATATCCAAGTCTTATGGCAAGAATTATTTCAGGCGTCTAACTGTTAGGAAGTCTGCAGCGTCTGTTCACCAGTATATATATATATATAGCATGCGGCTGCAAGCGGGTATCTGTGTTGGAGCAAGCGGCTCGCTATATAAACGTGTATTTGGTTGCGAAACCAACCCCGTTGTGCGCTGGGTTTGGAACCTGCCACATAAAAACCCCTTCCAGTGAAGAAGCAAAGTAAAGCCTTGGAGTCTTTAACATCTCCCTAATATGCGCTCATGCCCCGTCATGATATCAAAATCGTGCTTAGCAACTTCAATGCCGGGGTGGGCAAGGAAGGGATCTTTGGTATCACCGGAAAATTCAGCCTCCACGACGAAACGTCCGACAACGGACTGAGGCTGATGGACTTCGCAACGTGGATGTCTCTAGATCGAAAAACGAGAAACCAAATCGATCACGTTGTGATAGACGGAAGGCACGCTTCCAGTGTTTTACACGTACAGTTGTGTTCATATTAATAGCAGTGCGTTCTCTGAGATCGGAAAACACGGCTTCATTCAAAATAAATGNGGATGGACAGAAACGCTCCTGCTCTGAAAATATTCAACGCGGGCCGCGATGCTGGTAACAGAGGAAGAGGAAGGCCTCCTCTGCGTTGGAAAGACCAGGTGGAGAAGGACTTGGCTTCACTTGGCATTTTCAATTGGCGTCAGTTAGCACAGAAGAGAAATGACTGGCGTGCTGTTTTGGACTCGGCCAAAATCGCTTAGGCGGTTACAGCGCCAAATAAGAAGAAGAAGAACTGTTAGGAAGTCTGCAGCGTCTGTTCACCAGTAGATGCGGCTGCAAGCGGGTATCTGTGTTGGAGCAAGCGGCTCGCTATATAAATGTGTATTTGGTTGCGAAACCAACCCCGTTGTGCGCTGGGTTTGGAACCTGCCACATAAAAACCCCTTCCAGTGAAGAAGCAAAGTAAAGCCTTGGAGTCTTTAACATCTCCCTAATATGCGCTCATGCCCCGTCATGATATCAAAATCGTGCTTAGCAACTTCAATGCCGGGGTGGGCAAGGAAGGGATCTTTGGTATCACCGGAAAATTCAGCCTCCACGACGAAACGTCCGACAACGGACTGAGGCTGATGGACTTCGCAACGTGGATGTCTCTAGATCGAAAAACGAGAAACCAAATCGATCACGTTGTGATAGACGGAAGGCACTCTTCCAGTGTTTTACACGTACAGTTGTGTTCATATTAATAGCAGTGCGTTCTCTGAGATCGGAAAACACGGCTTCATTCAAAATAAATCGAATAAAATTTTAAAAGGCTCTCGCTTTTTAATTTCATGATTAATGCAAACAAAATATAAACAAAAAGTTTTACTATTCTTTGCAGTTTCTTAAATCAAAACTCAAAAAATTCACAAGTTGGCAAAAAATTATGTTCACAAAAATAGCAGTAAAAATGAAAGTGATATGGAATTCAACACAAACGCAAAATCATACATCTTTGTGTAAAGTACAATAAAGATATAGCTAATATTTAGTCTTATACCCCTTATTCCGAATGACGGCGGCACATCTACGTTGCATCGAGTCCACAAAACGTCTGCATCTTTCGACTGGGATATTTGCCCATGCAGAGCGTACAACTTCCCACAAAGCGTTCACATTGGTTGGATTTCTTTCGGAAACACTATGTTTTATGGCCCCCCATAAGTTTTCGATGGGGTTCAGGTCTGGTGATTGTGCTGGCCACTACATCATGTTGATGTTCTTGTTCCGAAAGAAGTCCCTAGCTCGCTTGCTCGTATGTTTCGGATCATTATCCTGTTGAAAGAACCATTTCAGCGGCATTTCTTCATCTGCATATGGCAGCATAACATCTTCTAGGATTTCAACGTACTTGTGCTGATCCATGATACCATCAATTTTGTATATTGGTCCTGTACCGCAATAGGAGAAACAACCCCATACCATGATTTTAGCTCCTCCATGTTTAACGGTCTTGACCGTGTATTGTGGTTGGTTACCAGCATTTTGCGGCACGTACACTCCCTAGGCCCAAACATCGCCTCGGATCACTATCTTGTTGCAAAAAATGTGCGCCCAAATATGCAAAGAAAGCTTAACGTCGAAAAGCTGTAATCACAACATAAAGGCCAATGCATTCGCATGCTCTCAGAGAGCACTCTTAAACCATCCGACATATGCGAGCAGTGGAACCACTTTTTCCGCCCATTGAGTACCGCCGCCGCAGAAGTAGTCGTACTTCAGCGAGCCCCAAAGAACAACTGGTACGACGAGCAGTGTTAGGAAGCTATAGAGAAAAAAAATGCCGCCTACTGGGCCAGGCTGTGATCTGGCGCAACGCGTGCTCCAATAGCCGCTGAATCCATAATACCCTTCGTTCCCCTAATTACAAGGAAAAACAATGTTGTCACCATTAGGCTACCTCAATAACCAAGTTTTACAGAGATATTAAAATATTTTTTACCAATATTATCGTAAACTAAATGATAGCAAATTCGCATGCATGTTTCTCTTCAACAGGGGTGGGGTTCAAACCCCCAAAACCATTTCGGGGAAAAGGAGATGATAGAAAAGCGTGAAACAATGCGAATTTATATAAATGTTTTTTATATTTCTGCTACCACCTTGCATGAATTTGCCTTTATGCAATGCAAGTGTCCATATGNGGCTGTGATCTGGCGCAACGCGTGCTCCAATAGCCGCTGAATCCATAATACCCTTCGTTCCCCTAATTACAAGGAAAAACAATGTTGTCACCATTAGGCTACCTCAATAACCAAGTTTTACAGAGATATTAAAATATTTTTTACCATTATTATCGTAAACTAAATGATAGCAAATTCGCATGCATGTTTCTCTCCAACAGGGGTGGGGTTCAAACCCCCAAAACCATTTCGGGGAAAAAGAGATGATAGAAAAGCGTGAAACAAGGCGAATTTATATAAATGTTTTTTATATTTCTGCTACTACCTTGCATGAATTTGCCTTGATGCAATGCAAGTGTCCATATGTACATATGTACATTAGGGTGCCCATCAAAATTTTTTATTTTTTTTCAAGACCATACCCTCTAATTTTATTCGTTTTTATTAGAAATATTCTTGCCTATTTTTATAGATTTTTTAAAGGTCATTTAGAGGCCGCGACCTGTCGATTTAGGTCATAAAATACGATTTTGTAGATTCATGAGTTTCTGAATGACTATTTTTGATTCGATTACAATGTTCGAATATGATCGGAGAAGAGGATATATAGGCCTTTAAAATAGTATATAATAATCTATTGTCGGACTTAGCTCGTTAGGATTTTTTATCGGGTAAAATAAAAAACTCATATACATATCTCTTATTTTTTTTAAATTTTTACTATCGATAATTTCCACACGTTCAAAATATATAATACTATCTAAAATTAAATCTATGCAATAAATACAATATGCTGAATATTCTTGGTTGTTACGAATGACTTTACATATTTTTAAGAGTCATTCCAAGTATGCAGTTATATAGTCCATTCAATTTTTCGGCAATTTTTTTAGTGGAAGGTCTTGCTCATTTTCTTCATACAAAAATAATTGTCGAACATAGTTTGTATGGAAGTTGGCCTTTTCTAATAGATTTTGTCGCTGAACTCATATCTGCAAAATATGCAAAGCATTTTAAAATACACAACTTGTCCTTTCACAAGTCGCACAGTGTGCTTTTTGAACACTGCATGCAAATTAGNTACACAACTTGTCCTTTCACAAGTCGCACAGTGTGCTTTTTGAACACTGCGTGCAAATTAATCGTAGCGCTTTCGACAGAAGCAGCATTTTGATACGAAACAAAATGGTTTTGAAAGCTTAAGTAAATCCCTTTTAATTGTGGTCATTGAACCACAATTACCCCTTGACCTTAAAAAAATTGGTCAAAAGTAGTGTTCTTCGAAAAAAATGCGAAATCCACGGGATTTATTCCAAAACAGGAAATGTATGTATTTTTTATTATACTAGTATTACAGATTTTGAGACGAGCAACACGATTCCACTGTTCAAAATTCGAAAAAAAATTTTAGCACCTTAATTTAAAAAATTCATTATATATTGCATTTTTTCTATTTGCATGCAGCTATGCATCCTTCACTCAATTTTATATTCCTCGAACAAAAAGTGCAATTCAAGACCTTTAATTTGAGCCAAGGTAGAAGCGTCTAGGCCCTCTGAGAGCCAAGTTATAACAATTTTAAACCAAACTCCGAAACTGCTGTACTAGTTTTTACTCCAAAATGCGTAAAATGTCGAATGAAATTTCGAGGTTTAACTTGAGAATCGTAATAATTTAGCTCTCAAAGGGCCTAGAGACTTCTTCTTTAAACAGTGCAGTTTCTCGCACCAAAATCGATAATATTAGTA